AGCCACCGCGCTCAGCCTAGGGAATTTTTAAGTACTTATTTATATTTATCTAGGGACAAAATTAAGCAATGAGAGCCAGGTGCAGTGGTTCACGCCTGTAATCCCCAAACTCTGGTAGGCCAAGGTGGGCAAATCACTTGAGGCCAAGAGTTCAAGACCAGCCTGGCCAACACAGTGAAACCTTGTCTCTACCAAAAAACACAAAAATTAGCCAGGGATGATAGTGCACACCTGTAGTCTCAGTTACTCAGGAGGCTGAGGGAGGAGAATTGCTCGAACCCAGGAGGTGGAGATTTCAGTAAGCCCAAGGTTGCAGTGAGCCGAGATCGCACCACTGCACTGCACTCTAGCCTGGGCGACAGAGTAAGACACCGTCTGGGGAGGGAAAAAAAAAAAAAGCAATGAGGAGCACACATGTTACAAACACAATTCACTTTTTTCTTAAAGCACCAATAAAATTTTTAAAAAGTTTATATTTATCTACAGAAAAATTAAGCAAAGAACAACACATATTTTACAAAAACAATTCGCTTTTCTCTTAAAGTACCAATGATATAAATGAACTTTAAATTGTAGTTTACAGCATTTTACTGCACTGATCGTATGTGTACAACAGTTCCAATACGGACTGTCATTGTAAAAACATTACATGGAGAAGGAGAGTTCAGTCACCAGAGCCCTAACAGGCGATAACATAAGAGGGTGCCAGAAGAAAAATCACACACAGAAATGGAAGGTATGGGGCCAAAGCTGATAGTGCCTCAGGTGAGGCAAACACACATGCACCAAGGGAATATGTGCCACCCATTTCGTGCGAAAATATATTGTGAAAGAAAAAGGCCATGATGGCTTTGAACTAACTCACTGGCGAGTGGCAAGTGGTGCTTGGGCCAAATAATACAGGACAAGATGACAGTGGAAAGAACAAAACCAAAACATTTTGTATATTCCATCAGATTTCACTTTGGAGTTATCTCTGCCGAGAAGCTAGATTTTATTCAAGAAATATCTTTGCTAAGAAACAAGATAGCAGAATTACTCTGAGTTCTATAAAAATATTTTAAGGCTTTTTTTTTTTTTTAATTCTCAAACTGATCTTTATAACTCTAACGTATACTAAGAACAATAAATCCTTTCTGAAAATGGGCTTTACAGAATACTCTTTGTGAAAATAAAAACATATTTTTTGTAATATTATCATTACGTTTGCCATCTGGTCTCCATGCCAGACACGTCACCTCCTTTCCTGTATTTTCATTTGGCGGAAAACTCCAAACTCGATGAAAACTGGCCAGCCGATGAAGTAAAACCTAAGACAAAGCAGATAGAATGGCAGGAAATTAAAAATCCATTTCCAAAAATAAAATAAACTTAGAGCCTTACTAAAAATTTTTTTAAATGACCATCTCTCACTTAGCTATCAGAAGAATAGAAAAAGACAACAGTGTCTGAATGAACACAAGGTCTTTTAAAACAAATGGGTGAAACAAGGTCTAATTTAATCCTGTACCTAATCTTTTTTTTTTTGAGACAGAGTTTCACTCCTGTTGCCCAGGCTGGAGTGCGGTGGCGCAATCTGAGCTCACCGCAACCTCCGCCTCCTGGGTTCAAGCAATTCTCCTACCTCATCCTCCCGAGTAGCTGGGATTACATGCATATGCCACCACACCCGGCTAATATTTTATTTTTAGTAGAGATGGGGTTTCTCTATGTTGGCCAGGCTAGTCTTGAACTCCTGACCTCTCAGGTGATCCACCTGCCTCAGCCTCCCAAAGTGCTGGGATTACAGATGTTAGCCACCGTGCCTGGCCCTGTACCTAATCTTTTATGTCAACGGGAGACTTACCTTTTATAAAGAAGGCTGTCCAAGGTGACAACCAAAAAAGAAATAAAAGAACACAAACACCACTAAAAAGGTAGCTAGCTGTAATATAGTCAAATTATACTAAGCTTGGAATTAGTCCACGTGGTACCTAATTTCAGCTGTGTCACTCACTAGCCATGGATCTTAGACAAATCACTTAACCATTCTAAATCTCCATTTCCACACCAGTAAATTCCCACCTTGGAAGGTCAAAATGTTGCCCAAGAGCTCTACGACTGCCCCTGTAGCAGCTTCTATACAACCACTGACAGTAAGGAAGAAAAGGCTTCACAAAATGCACATGCTCCTCCAAGACCCCTCCCCATCTCCACACTCAGCTTCACCACCATGACCCTGCCTTATCTCACAGATCACAGCACGCTTCACTCCGGGTTACATCATCTCCTGGACTTGACCCTCTCTTTTCTGAAACCATTCCTGCCATTCCTTACTTCTGAAACCCTTCCTCTGTGCTTTCTATAGCTCACGGTCAGGTGTCATCATGAAATTAATATCTTCATACTTTTCTCTGAAATGTGCCTCTCACCTGAGGACAATGCTTCCCTGCAGCCTTGCTAGGTGGTGGCCATTTTGTATCCCACAGCCCTTGTACTGCTACTCTTGGGCAGGAGATGAAGTAGGTGTCTTCCTTGATGCCTGATGCCATTTCTTCTCTTCTTGAAAATCTCCTAACTTTGAATCACATGTAATCACACCATACGACCGCTATCCCTCTAATTGCAGTCCTCTACAGACCCCTAGGCCATTCCCCTCATTCCTCGAAGATCTGGATACCTGGCTCCCTTATGCTTTCTAGCAACACACTCATCCTCATTTTTGGTGATTTCAAGAGCTATGATGCCCTAGCTCTCAATTGCCTCTCCTCCAGTGATCACATCTTCTACTGCACTCAGCCACTCTCAGGGTCACACCCCTGGCCTGGTCATTACCAGCAACTGCAGGGCCACCAAAATCTCCATTTCAAACTTCCCACTTTCCATCCACCGCCCCTCTTTACAGCTCATCTCTACAATACTCAACTCCAATTCTTTGCCCTCACCAGGATACAGTCTATTGATTCTACCACCTATTTACTGTCCCTCTCCCCTGCCTTCGCTTCCCTCCTTCATCAAGTTAGAACCCAAAGTTCAGAAACACAATCACTCCCTTTGCACATAACTTCAACTCTCTTTCATCTTTCTCTTGCTTTGTCATACTTGCAAAACAACAATCCTGGTTAAACCCAACGATGCCTGCACCCACACAGCCAAACAGAACGGAGAGAGACACATACAACCTCATTCAACCAGTGTCTCTCAAATAACAACACCGATCTTGTGTGGCTCGTAACACTGACAGGTAATCCTATTAGGCTTCCTAAGTCCACCTGCCTTGTTAGCTTTTTCATACCTCTTCTTTCTCAAACTTCCAATATATTCTTCTCCATCTCCACCCATAGACAATACCCTTGCTTCTTCCTTCACTGAGAAAATGGATATAATAGTGCCCTCTATCACACCTACCCATCTGATTGCACGGATGTGCCTCCTGTCTACCTTCCCTCCTACTTCTGTGGCTGTATCACCTGCTGCTCTCTAGAGCCACAACAGAGTTTCAAAGCATCCCGGCAGTGGAGGGAGACGAGATTTCATGGAGGGCCCTGAAAAATGAGACATCAATACCCCGGCGACTGGATCATGGCAGATAGCATGGTACTGTAGTCTGCAGGGTGCTACGCTTTCCTTATCACCTAGTTTCCAAATTTGACTCTATACAACTCTCACCTGGCCAGATAACTCTCAAGCCAGAGGCGGAAAGATGCACAGGTGAAGGTTTCCTTACAAAATGGCTGGCAGGTAATAACTCTCAGCAGAAAGTTGGGTACAACTGGCTTATACTTGATGAAGTTTAATGTGAACAAGACATGGTGATAACATTCATGCACGTTCTCTCTGGAATCCAATGCATCCCTTCCTTGTCCAATTTAAACGTATTTTTAGTGGTGGTTATCCAACCCGTAGTATAAAACGTGGACAAGAGAAGCCAGATTCTTAAATATATCCTCTGTGGCAGCTACATGCATGCACTTCTGCAGCTGAAGTTTGATAATAACTCTTCCTTCTGCCATTAAAACTGTAAGCAAACTTAGGGCAGGGTCCCTGGATCTACCTATGTCTAGCTCATGAGTGGCACATCGTGCGCTTTTTTAAAAGTTCATTTAATTAATAAACCAATGAGTGAAGACGACTTGGGGAAGCAGGATTGCGTGACGGTGTTAAGCTGTGTGAAAACTGTTACTTTAGCCATAAAAGTACCGAAAATAGCACAGACATCACCTTTCGCATACATACTTAAAGTTTGCTGCCGTCCTGGGAGGCAAGGGTAGCAGGTGGCCCACCATGTCTGCAGAAGGGGAAACTGAGACTCCGGCCGCCTATGGCCCGAAAGAACAGGCTCGGGCTCGGTGTTCTAGGGACCCCGGGAGCAGACCCAGCACACGCGGGCTCCCGCCGGCTCACTCACCTCGCCCGCTGTGTTGGCCAAAGCAATGAGATCCCGCTTGGGCGACCAGACCAGGAAAATAATCTCCTGCGGGAGCTGCTTCTCTCCCACCACCCGGAAGGACGGGAAACAGGTCGGAAAACGCAACATGGGGACGGCCCTGCAACGACACCCCAGTAAGAGGCCGGCAGAAGCTCCCGGCCCTCCACGAGGAGCCCCGACCGCGGCTGTACCTGCAAGAGTCCCCACCGGTGACTAACACAGCCCCAGCGACCTCACCCCTCCCTCTGCCGGCCGCACGCCACAGCCTCCAGACCGCCCCGCCCCGCCGCTGTCGCGCGCTCCAGGCACTTCCGGCGTCGAGACTGCCTCGCGAGAGGAGGAGGCGGGGCGGGGCGCGCACCGGGCTTGGCGGGGCTGAGAGCCAGACCCGGCGGACGGGGACCGGGCGCTGTGGGCGAGGCAGGGAGCAGCGAGGGGCGGAGCGAGGTGGGGATAGGATGGGGCCCGTGGGCGGGGCAGGGAGCAGCGAGGGGCGGAGCGAGGGAGGGTGGGGCACGTGGGCGGGGCAGGGAACCCCGAGTGCTGCGGAGAGGGAGGGAGCGGAGCCCCAGACCCAGGTGCGGGTGGGATCGCTGGGCGCGGGGACCCAGAAGGGCCCGAGAAGGGCGGGGCGGGCCCCTGCGGCCGCACGCGGGGCTTTTGGGAACGCGTTTGTGCACGTGTGTGGGCATGCTTGCATAGGTTTCCCGTTTTCCCGGAAATTCGCTGCTGTGGACGACGGGACGTTAGGGGTTTATGGGGTAGGCTTCAGCAACAACGGGGAGATGATAAAGAATATGAACTTTAGGTCCTGATCAGCTGGAGCCTCCTCTGACAGTTACTAAGCAAGTAGTTCTCATGTCATTCCTGGTGGGTCAGTATAGAATTTTAAAAGTCCCCCTCTCCAAGCAGCACCCCAAACCAATTAGAAGAAAATTAACCCTGGATGGGCCCAGTATTTACTAAAACTCTTCGGGTGATTCCAGTTTGAAGAGAGAAGAGGCGCCTGCCTGAAACCTCCCTAACAGGAAAATAATACTGTGACACCTCATCCCATTTAACCCTCAAAACATATTGATAGTTGCAGACCCATCATAACGAATAGAGTGTAGGCTCATACACGATTTCTTCTTGGCATTTACTATGTGGGGGAACTGAGGCTACACGAATGCATGGGACAGGAACTCTGCCCAGAGGCTCACGGGTCAGCCTGGCAGACTTGTACATCAGAATTCATCTGATGTTGCTTTATGTAGGACACATTTAAATGAGTCAACATGTCCACAGTTCCCACAGCTATGACCTCCCTAAGAGAATGTGACAGTGTCATCCTAGGGTTCTTAAACCCTCTGGTAGAAAGTCTACTTTTCACTACCTTTGACTTGTTCAAAGAAGAAAGAGACCGGAGGACCTTTAACTTTGAACAGGCCCCATCTTCTAGACCTTTGTCTGGATCTAGCCCCTGGGAAGTAGATGACGGAGGGAGACTAATTCATTCAGCATCAAGTAACTATTTTGTGCCAAGTACTGTTCTTAGCCTTTGACTTTATACCTACCCTGTTTCCTTTCAGGGGCTTTGCAACCCTTGCCTTTGCCGCAGACAACTTAGCATGTGCCCCCAACTCTTCCAGAATCAACATTTCTAAGGTAAAAATGCATCTGCCTTTTTCACAAAACGCATTTTCAGGTGTTAATGTTTTGGGGCAGTTATAATGGATCACCTGGTGGGGGTCCAGTATCTATGCACCTGATATTCTAATGGAAATTGAGTGTCCATTTTCCTGGAACTTACCTGAATACAAACACCCACACAGCACGTGAAAATGACTGTTCCCAGAGGCATAAACACCGTACTGCAAAGGACTGAGTATAACCACCTGCACATTAAGTCTTCACGGAATATGAATTTCCTAAGCCTTACAGCAAAGGAAACAGCATAGCTGTGGAGTTCCAGGTGTGGGCAGGAAACAGCAGAGTTTGATGCTGCTATAGACCAGGGGTGTCCAATCTTTTGTCTTCCCACATTAGAAGAATTGTCTTGGGCCACACATAAAATACATTAACACTAATGACAGCCGATGAGCTAAAAAAAAAAAAAAAATCACAAAAAAACTCATGTTTTAGGAAAGTTTATGAATTTGTGTTGGGCTGCATTCAAAGCCCTCCTGTGCCGCAGGCTGCGAGTTAGACAAGTTTGCTATAGACCCTCATGTGTGTTGGTAGGCAGTAGGGGGCAGGAATTGTTCTTGGACATGATCCAAAGTAGCCGTAAGGCAAGAAATATTAACACATCGTGTTTCCAGCCTTTTCTTCTTCCCACTGCCCCATAAAGATTTTAGCTTTACCTCCTCTTTTTGCCTCCCCCATCCTTAGGAAAATACTGCTTTGTCAAACTGGCTCATTTGTGCATTGGTGACACAGAATAAAGAGAAAAAGGGAAGAAGGCTCAGGGATCAGGCATCAGTGCTTTTTAAGGAGGCAAGGGCAGGAGAAATAAATATTTTCTTAAGTATGTTCATTACGAGGTTATTTACTAAAGTGAAAAAATGCAAACCACCTAGATGTCCCATCATAGATTTTTGAAAAATATATCTATCCTGAAGAATACTATGCAGACATAAATCGATGTTCACAATATACTTATGAAAAAGCATGCGACATAAAACAGTATGTAATTAAAATTCCATTTTCTTGAGGGAAATTTGTGCATGTGTCTGTAAACCTATTTATGCAAGAACTTATCTTTGGAAGAGTAGACAGGGAAGTTATAAGAGTGGTTATCTCTGGGTGGTAGGGTTAGAGATGCTTCTATTTTTCCTTGATTTACCTGGCTCATGTATTAACTGTAAACAGGCAGCAACCTTTGTTTTCCTGTTTTTTGTTTGTTTGAGACGGACTTGCTCTTGTTGCCCAGGCTGGAGAGCAATGGCGTGATCTCAGCTCACTGCAACCTCTGCCTCCCAGGTTCAAGCGATTCTCCTGCCCCGAGTGGCTGGGATTACAGGCACCCGCCACCATGCCCAGCTAATTTTTTTGTATTTATAGTAGAGATGGGGGTTTCACCATGTTGGCCAGGCTGGTCTCGAACTGCTGACCTCAGGTGATCCACTCCCCCCGACCCCCCTTAGCCTCCCAAAGTGCTGGGATTACAGGCGTGAGCCACCGCACCTGGCCTGTCTTCTTTAAGCATGTGGAATGTTTGGGCTGACTTCCTCTAGTGTTCTCCCACTCCTCCTCTCCATACTTGCAGATGAAGTGGCCCATCTATTCAGGCCGACCATCTTAGAGATCACCAGGTTTCACCTCTTCTAGTATCCAGTGGTATCAAGCAGCTAAACCAGGGAACTTGTAACTAACTGTCCCGCCAAAGGCAATTGAGATAAAACTCAGCCTCTCAGAGCTCTGAGATCTTGTTGCTCAGTGTTGGTGCTATTTGCCTCATCTTGCTGAGTTAACATTTATACTATTGCCTGAAATCAAATAGCAGAGGTCTTATCTTTACTTTATTGCAATGACCTTCTTAGCTGACCCTCAAGTAATTTCAACCCAGGCCCTCGTGGTCCAATTAAAATCACATCAAATAAGTAAAACTGGATTTTCCTTTAGATTTTCTGGAAGCTGTCCTACCTAGACAGCTCGAAGTGTACCTGCTTCTTACATAGCATAGTTAGGGTGTGAGGCATAAAGCAGGATATTAAATGGCATTTCCATTCACTCATTTGGTATTTATGAACACCTACTACCTAGAGGGTGAAGAAATGTGTTAGCTTGGCTGCCTGCTTCCCATTAACTGAGGTCACAGGTGATGCGGCTGGTAATCTCTATCACTGTAGAAAAGGCACAGTTCTCGTGCCTAGTAAGCAAACACAGTGATGTTCACAGGCACTGCCATCAATGAGCTTCTAATCTGTACAGGGCTAAACAAGTATGTAAAGTCATTCTTATACAGGGCATGATTTAAGTACCATAAAAGAAGTATAAAAACAACACACAAACATACACCTTTTTATTTCTCTGGCAACAGATGTACTACTCCAGTGGAGAGACCAACAGGGACACTGTGAAGGCAGTGGGAGCAGACCAGGACCCTTTGTAGGTTGTGATTTTATATTTCAAGATTAGTCAAACTTCTCCCAGATGCCTAGTATTTTGCAATTACTTTGAAGGGGCCTTGCAGATAAGGCTACTCATCTTCACACAGCATATCCCCACGTTTAAAACTTCAGTGTTAGGGTGGTCCTCATATTGACTCTAAGTCCCTCCTAATATAAATCTGTTTTTTTTTTCAGTACCTAGAAGAAACATATTAGAGTGGGTCCAGTCCGTATTTCAGGCATGCCTACCACTTCAAAGACTCTAGAAAATTCCATTCTTACATCAAATTTTTATTGAGCACCAACAAGGCACAAGATGCACAAGAGCAGATGAAATGGGTACTGACGTTAAGAGACCTAAATCTTTGAGGGAAATAAAATCTGTAAAAATAATCACAGAATAATATGTGAAAGGCTTTAAATGTAGTATAGAACGCCAAGGGGCCAAAGAAGGTTTCAGTATCAGGGACTCGTGGAAGATTCCCAAACCAGAATGGACTGGTCACATGGAGGGACATATTCCAAGCAGAAAGAACAGTATCAGATGAAAAGAATGGGGCATATGGAGTAATAAACTAGTCTAGGTACTGGACTAATGTAGGAAAAAAATATGAAATCGGGCCTACAAAAAGACTTTGTATCTGATTAAATTTCATAATACAAGAAGAAGAATGAAATTTAGCTGTAATTATTTATTAAAAGTGTCCTTTTAAAAAGCTTAGAAAATGTTATCTGTCAAATGTCAGGGATTTTCTTCTATTGCTATTTTGAGAAGGTATCTTAATGTTCAGATGTTCAGATCTCTATTAAGAATAAATGACCTCATCCCGCTTCACATTCTACCTCCCAGAGACACATTTTTACAGCCTACTAATTAGTTTATTCTCTGAAAAAGGAATAGAGATTAAGTCCTTAAAATTAGTATTAACTGAATGTAAGTGTAAAATCACCAGATTTCCTATTTTTAACTAAGACAGTAATAAAGTTTTAAAGTACATTATTCCTGGCTGAGGGCAGTGGCTCATGTCTGTAATCCCAGGACTTTGGGAGGCCAAGACGGGCAAATCACCTGAGATGAGGAGTTCGAGACTCGCCTGACCAACATGGAGAAACCCGGTCTCTACAAAAATACAAAAATTAGCCAGGTGTGGTGGTGGGCACCTGTAATCCCAGCTACTCAGGAGGCTGAGGCACGAAAATCGCTTGAACCCGGGAGGCAGAGGTTGCAGTGAGCCAAGATCCCACCATTGCATTCCAGCCTGTCTGACAGAGCAAGACTCTGTCTCAAAATAAATAAGTACATTATTCCTGATTATAACTATTTCCTCAATTCTAAGATGTGTCTTTTTTATTTGCATTTCAGTATTTCTGAAATCAGATAATCTAAAAATTAATTAATGAAGTATTATTTCTCTTCTCCCCCGAAAAGCTATGATAAAATCAATAGTGTATTTTACAACTGATGGTATCTTAAAATTAAGGAAATATAGTGATGAGAATAACTTTGGCCTTCAGAACTCAATTTTTCAGTAGTCACAGTCCCTCAGGTGTCTTAGTTTCAGAGGAGATTTCAATAGATTTTATCATGGAATGGTGAACACCATAAAGTCAGGCAATGTCCCTATCCTTGCTTTAATCAGAGAGGGGAACGCCCACAATGGTTTTACAAAGTTCATATCTCACCCAGTCACCTCCAAATGTGCCCCTCCTATCATAGCACTCCATGTAACAAAGGGGAGAAGAGCTTTCTGATGCTTATGAAGTCCAGGGGTATAACTCATCTTTTGATGTCAACTGAGGTACACCACTGCCACACTGATCTGGGCCACACTTGAGTATTCTACACCAGGCATCAGTCCTAACTTACCTGGAATTTAAATACCAGGTAGAGTGCAGGTCCTCTACCCTTCCTTACAGGGCTCTGGCTAACCCCAAACAAAGATGCCTTCAAATCTGCTTTATAGCAGTTGTTTGGAAACAAGAGAAAAGTCATTATGCAAATATAAGTCATTCAAAACAATTCAGTCTTAAGGAGATAATAACTAGCAGAGAAATGGGGAGATGAACTGTTTGTTCTGGGAGTTCAAATTACTGCAGTTAAGTGCTTTGTTTTCGGGCCAAAAGATAATCACCATTAGACCCCAGTAACAATCTTTATTGTTAACATAACTCACCAATGACAGAGGAGAACTGAGAGCCAAGCACTTGGGTCTCATTTAAAATTTAATCACAAAACAAACCTCAGGTATAGCTGATATTCTCCCCATTATAATAATGAAGAAACCAGGGCTTTTAGAGAGAGAGTGGCCTGGCCAAGATCATATAGCCAGGAAACGTTAAGGGTAGGAATGAGGAGTTTAATTACTAAACTCTCCTGACTTCTGCTCCGAACTACTTTTACAAAGAGAGAAACTTACTGCATAGGTTAAAAGACACTGGAATGACAGAGCAAGTCTTAGTTCTAAACATCTCACTCATTCAACAAGCATTTAAGTGATTCTAGACCATCAAAAGACAACTGCAAAAAGTACATGGAAAATAAATATTTAATAATAATGTAATTAAAATTACAATCTCTATATCTATACAGTGCCTTTGTAAAAACTCTTTCCATCATCTTCAAATTCAGTCTGAAAATAATTGTACACTGTACTTTTCAAGTGGGGTTTAAACTATTGTTTCATATTTAACATAAAATATTTTCCTATTTAAATGAACATACTTTTATGTTCAAGGTAGACAAACTTCATAGGTTTTCACTTTCGTTTTCTTCTGACATCTTCTGCAAAAGAATGCTGTCTGCATTTTCTAGATTAAAGAGGCTAGAATAATGTGACAGAAGCTAGGTGAGGTGGCTCATGCCTGTAATGCCAGCACTTTGGGAGGCCAAGGCAGGCAGATCCCTTGAGGCCAGGAGTTCGAGATCAGCCTGGCCAACATGGTGAAACCCTGTCTCTACTAAACATACAAATATTAGCCAGTCATGGTGGCATGTGCCTGTGATCCCAGCTACTCAGGAGACTAAGGCAGGAGAATCGCTTGAACCCGGGAGGCAGAGGTTGCTGTGAGCTGAGGTCATGCCATTGCACTCTAGCCTGGAAGACAGAGCAAGACTCCGTTTCAAAAAAAATAAAAATAGAATAATGCGACTGGGAGAGACTTAAAATGAGGAAAAATGAATGCTGAAAGAACTAGTAAACTGGCTGAAGATGGAACAACTCCCAGTCTCCAGAGAGGCAGATAAGGGACTGTAAGCCAGCAAATGCCACCTGCCTGTTATCTAGCTCAGAAAGGTGCATACCTCTGGAAGCGGCTGAATTTAAGTCCAGTGTGGCACTTTCAGAAAATGGCATCAAAGGTTGGACCATAAATCTTTCTTATTCTCAAGTCACTGGACATTTAAGAGCCAAGATATTGATGGGCTCTTTCCCTCCTTTTCTTTCTCCTTGTAGCAGATGTATGATTCATGGATTGTCCTTTCGTGGTCTCCATTTTCATCTTATTACTTTTTCTTTGCTTCTGCTTTCCGACAGCTCTGGAAAACAAGGTGCTAAATTATTTCACAGAATGAGCACAGTGAATTATGTAATTATGTTGAAGTTTAATTAACTAGCTAACCAAATAAGAAAATAGAAGAAGGGAAAGAATCTACTGTATTGCAAGCATAAATCCTCAGTCTCTTAACCATAACAACAAGGAAAGAGTCAGAGGCCTGACCAAGCAAAATGTTTGAGAAAAAAAAATTATTTAAAAGATGGTTACTATGGATTTAGAACAAGCTGTCTGGGGCAAACACACCACAGAGGTAAATGCAAAGGCAGTGAGATTGGACTTTTTAAAAAAGTTTTTTGTACATCTATACTGCTCAACTCAGCACTTCGATCTCCAAATCCTTGAATGCCGTTTTTTTCGGAGAGGAGCTGATACATGGGGCAGTTAGCAGAGGTAGAAAAATGAACAGCACAATGGAAAAAACCAACAAGCCTTGAAAGGGCCCGTTTCCTAAGTCCTACAGATTTTCCTTTCCTCAGCGGATCTAAAAGTCTTGACAAGTGCCATGCAGAGTATCAGCATTTTGTGGTCCTTATCTTGAAGATTAGCTTCAAAATAAACAAGCTGGAACTCGCCCTCTGAAAACACTGAACCACACCCGACAAAACAGATTGTTTCTGGTGTTCTCCACACTAAGTTACAGGCAACCTGTGGCTAAAAAAATTATTGGCCCATCCATTCACTTTCTCCAAACTAGCTGAATCATGTCATGATGCTCATCACATCCAGAACCAAGGAAGGGGCCAGAGCCACAGCACTGCCAAACCAGGATTCTTCCCCTGATTACCCAGCAATATCAATTGTTAGGTTCACCGCTCATAAGCGTCTCCACAGGAAAAGCTTATTCTTGATCTTGTCAGGAATAAACCTGGGAAAAGAGCTTCATGAACAATGTATCCCCCAATGGGTTCAATTTATGCCTCACTTTTTGTTTACTCAGCATATATGTTACCTGTTGAGAATACAAAAATGAATGGGTATAATCTTTGACTTCAAGGAGCTGGGAGACAGAGATATAAGGGGGAGGATAGTCACCCCCTCTCTATCCCTACTTTTTTAGGTGAAGATATTGAGGCTATGAAATCAATGAACATTTCATGAGGATCTGGCAGAACCAGCTTGATTCCAGGTGCTATACTTGATTCTGTGCTATACTATATACTCTAAATTATTTATATATATGCAAACTGCTAACCATATAATAATCACTCAATAAATATTAGCCATTATTAGTTCCACGTGACTATTACGCAGAATTTTGCTTGACAACCTTAAATTTTTTCATATTTAAATTTTGCACTGTGGACTAAGGATACCTTATCAGTTCAAAATAGAACAGTCTACAGAAGAAGTAGGATTGAAAACTTAAACAAAAAAGTTATCTTTATAGTATTATACTGATTAGTGCATACTATATAAATCTATTTCCCCACTTTTTTGAAGTAGGATAATTTCTTGATAAGTGATGATTTAGCAAACTTAATGAAATACAGTATAATCTCTAATGGCAAAGTCTGTGAAGCCATGTGTGCCTGTACACAAAATTTAAGTTTCTCTTTGGCTCATCCACTTATAAGCAGGACTAAAAATGAATGAAATTTCACTAGGGGATACGGTAAACAAAAACAGGAGGAAAATATTTGAAAATATTCATTTGTAATATGAATATACAAAACTTTCCAGAGATAAAGTCTTTGAATGGTGATGAACTGACTGTAAGTCAGTTTTATTTTGTCTTAAAATTAAATTGACCTAGTATTTGTCCTTTAAATTATAGATATTTATGTAACTGATAAAATGAGCTTTAACCACAAGAGGGAGCCAGCATCATTCCAGTTAGCAACTAAAGAAAAATTAACACCAAGGAAAAACAAATTAATATAAGACAGCTGTAAAAAGCCTGAGATGGAAAGACCTTTTATGTCATGTATGCTAAAAAGGTTGTTATTTTTCACTATTGTAAATAAAAAAATAATTTTGCTTTGTCAATTTCAAAATAATTTTTTTTTAAAGCAGTAACTATTAATAGGAGTTTAGGTGTCTTCTCTGAGGAAAAAAGTAATATTATTTAAGAATTATCAGGCATCCACATCTCAAAGGATTTGCTCTTGGAATTAAACTTGATAAGATCTAGTACTGAAAGATACTAGATGATTTCCCCTAATGAAATAGTACATTACTGCCAAATAGACTATATTTAGGAAGCAATGAAGGGCCTACAATAGAGTATCAAAATGCAAATTCAGTTTCCATGTAAGTTCACAGAATTAAAGGCTGAGCATGTTACTGACTACCACCCAGCATCACACTGACAATGGTACAGCAATCCCAGACCAATATGATTTATGAGGTTGTATTCAATTTCTGAAGGTTTATTCTAAGGGAAATATTTTATAAGATGCTTCAGTAAGCTTCTTTAATTAAGTTTTTAAAACTTTACTTTATCCTGGATTACTCAGTGGAAATAATTATTTAAAGTAGAGTAAATGTAGGATATAGGCAGTTGTAATGGTAGCCAGAATTCAAGTGGCTGGACCACAATGGAAAAAAAAAATTTCACTGACCACAAATAAATAAAACACATGGGAAAGAATTGTAATATTATCATAAATAATTACCATAGTATCAGATATTTCTAATAAGAATCCATTTTTCTTTAATTACAAGTCATAGTCATATGGTAGCCCAATCTGAAATTTCATATGTCATATAATGTCAAATTTAGCTATCTGGTAATCTCCAATTAATAACTGTGTGACATTAGTTTTCTTAGCAATAAAGCAAGAGCACTTAATCGCTATCATCCCTTTTAGTTAGGAAAAAAGTGTAATCATTCAAATTAGCCCTGTTAAAATAGCAGTGTTTTTCTTTTTTTGTTTTGTCTTGTTTTATTTTGGGGATAGCTATTCCAGAAGCAATGCCTTTTCTAAATATGCTATTGTCATTGCTCTCCCTTTACTCTGAGTTGTAATCGATAACTGTAACCAAATATTGGTAAGAGATGTGAAAATAATCACAGGAAAAAAAGTAATAAAAATTTCAAATATTTAAGTATTAAGCATGTCTAAATATTTTTCTTAAAATTTGATATAAAGAAATAGCTCTCTTACAATTTGCCTACTGTAGAATTACTTGCTATTCAATCTGAAATGGCTTCTCCAGCCTTTCCTGCCATCGTGTGTCTAGATCTGATCTGTTCCTCAAAGCCTGACTTAAATATCCTGTCCTTCAATAAAGCATGAACTGTCAAGCCCTGTAACTTTACACATGAGACATAAAGCTAAGGAGAGGTAAAGTGAACCACTTTCTACCTCATATTTTGGTTATTTTCATGTCTAAGCTATAGAACTGTAAGCTCTTTGAAAGCAAGCTCTTTGAATCATCTTTCTCTCCTCTCTCCATCCATCTATGCAACCAGTACATAATAGTGAAAGTGACAATTAACTTGGCACTTTAAGATCCTCCAAATGTTGCATGCTTTTATGGATTACCCTGTATAAAACACAGATGGAATACATTTTTCTAGTTAAGTATTCGACTGACTTGTTAGCTCTTTTAGATGTAGCAATGTTAGGACAAGTACTGCGTTTATGATCCAATTCACCACAAATAAAGCAGCCATCTTTGGGGCCCTCGCAAGAGTGATCTGGAACAGCACAGTGATTGCAAATGCTACAGTGGATCCAGGCTGTAAAATAAAAATTAAGTTTTAAAAGAAGTTCATGTAACGTAATGTTTCATCTTATTAACTTTTAAGGTAGGATATACGAACAGTGTTTACTTGAAATATTGTGGCTAGTTTGCACAGCTAGTTTTAGTTTGGCTAAAGAGACCAGGGAGAAGAGGTTAGAATTCCACATAAACTAGCTAACTTCTTTCTGTTACATGCAACAAATTCAGCCCTTCTCCAGTAAGTTATGAGCTGACAGCTACTGTCACAATGGAGGCTGACTGAGTGACACAATGCCTTATTAAAATAAGTCAAACCAAATGCCACACTGAAACAGGTGAGCAATCATCTCTCCTGCAAGGCAGAACAAGGCAGAACATACATGTTGATAACTATAAAATTAAAAAGCAAATAAATTACAAGTCTCTACCCTGATTAGTTTTTCCTTTATAAATCCAGTGAAAAATCCTATTTAGATGGAGAAAAACTCTAAAATGTGTTCATAGGATCTCAAACATTAAGTCTCAATACTTACAAGGCTTTACACACTTTTTACAGAGAAAGCAATGGTTCCATTTCCTGCCATCCTATCAAAAAAAAAACAATTTTTAAATTATATTTAATTTGTTATTAAAAATCAAGTTCTACAATTAAAAATTAAAATGTCTTATTAAAATCTGTGTAAATTATTCATTCCTTATTTCTGCCTTTTCTGGGCTTCACAATTAAATACTTTGATTTTAATTTATGCATTCCTCCACTCAACTCAAATGCCTCCTTGATGGGCCTCAATTTCCTTAACTGTAAAACTAGGAGATTTATCTAAATGATCTTGAAAATCCACTCCAGTTCAAGAAACCCAATCTGCACAAAGAAGGACTCAAATGAAAATTTCAAGAGAATTAATGATTCATAATTTTATGTGTCTATACTGCATAATCCTTAATGAAATTCATATTTGAGAACTTTACATAATTTAGAAAGATAGATTATAGGTTACTGTTTGATTAATTTTAAAACTATGAAATAAAAATATCTAGAAAGGTGCATAAAATATATCCAATTTAATGAGTATTGTAAAGCAAACACGGATAAAACCCACGAGGTAAGAAAGAATACCACCAGCCCTCTGGAAACTGTCCCGTGCCCCTACTCAGTCACAGCATTCCTCCCGTCCCCTCCAAATGACACCTCTTTAAATTGTGTGATTGTCATTTCCTAGCTCTTGCTTCCTTTTACTACCTTTGTGTGCATCTCTAAATAATAAGTTTGTTTCCCTCAACTTTAAAGTATACAATCTGGGCATAATTTTTTTTAAATGAAGAATACACAGCATGTCTCAACTAATAAAAACTAAATATAAACAATCAGATGTATTAACATTGTTAAAAACAAGTATAACCAGTAATACTATTCTATACTCATGAAAAATGTACTTTCTAATGTTTATATAAATGCAGCCTCTTCTTTAGAGAATAATTTGTGCTTATGAGCCAAACTAAACTTCACATGCCCTTTCTGATCCGATTTAGTTAAAATAAACAAAACAACTTAAGGGTCACCCTGCCTTCCTAAAAAATTAGGGGGTTTATTTATAATTGCGAAAACTTGGAAACAACCAAGATGTCCATCAGTAGGTGAATGAGTAAACAAGTTGTAGTATATCAAAGGAATAGCATTCAGAGCTAACAAAAAAAGAGCTATCAAACCATGAAAAGACATGAAGGAACCTTTCATGCCTATTACTAAGTGAAAGAAGCCAATCTGAAAGGCTATATACTATATAATTCCAACTGTGTGACATTCTGGAAAAGGAAAAACTATAGAGACAGTAAAAAGATAGTGGTAGCCAGAGATACCATTCAAGAAGAAGGATAAATAGATAGAACACAAAAGATTTTTAGTGAAAACAGTGAAACCACTCTGTATGACACTGTAATGGTGAAAACATGTCATTATACATTTTTCAAACCCATAGAATGTAAAACACCAAGAGTGAACCTAATGTCAACTCTAGGCTCGGGGTGTTAATGATGTGTCAATGCAGGTCCATCACTTGTAACAAACGCACCCCTCTGGCGGAAGATGCTGACAGTTGGGGAGAATGTGCATGTGTCAGGACAGGGGACATACGGGGAATCTCTGTACCTTCTGCTCGATTTTGCTGTGAACCTAAAACTCCTCTAAAGAACCAAGTCTATTAAGAAAAAATAATACCTAAATAAATAAATAGGAGGTATGTCCCTTTGCAGTCCTTCATCTGTAAAAAATCAAGGAGTAACTGTACCTAATAAGGCTGTTGTGAGGATTAAATGAGTTCATCCATGTGAAGCTCTTAGGAAAGTGTCTGGCATATTAAAAGTGCACAGTACATGTTACTAATTATTTCGCCAGAATGATGATGGTACCTAATAGGTCAGTGCCTTATTTGAAACACCATAATTTTTCCCTCAACATACACATAATTGAGCATGCATTTAATGCCTTATTTGAAACACTGATAATTTTAGCAGTCCCAAGTACCATTTGAAGATGAATTCAAATGACTGTTGGTGATGATGAAGGCAGTTAAGTATTTTTAAAAGCTGTTGTACTCTATAATTTAAAATATTGTATTATAGCATAATTAATAAATGACAATACATATTAATACAAATCATATTAACAAAATAACATTTAAAAGGTAATAAAACTAGTAAGCTAAAATAAAATGAAAATATTTAAATAAAAATACATTCTATAAGAACACCATACCTTGGATGTGCAAGAATTACAGTGCTCACAGTGTTGATTCTCTAGAGAAACATATCGTTGACACAGAGAGCAAAATCTACAGAGTAAAGGACAGAGAAATCAGCTGCATACATTTATTGAGATTTACAGAGTAGATAAAACTTTACAAAGCACTCATTACAAAAACTGAGTGCAATCTGAATTCAATTCAATATGAAATTATGGACCTAATTTAAAAGTAATAGAATAACCTGATTCAACACTGAAAGCATTTGACTGACAGATATATGTAACTTTATTTTCAGTGACTTGTGTACTTCAAAGTTCCACTTTGATCTTACCTGTACCCTTCTTCAGTAGGAAGGATTATTTTGTTGGGCGGAATGTTGGTGAAAATACGCACGGGAGACTGTTTTCGACCTGTCTTTCCGTATTTATAAAGTGCATGATTATCATAATCTACCTAGAAAGTTAAAAATTAAAGCAGAAAGAAAATTTACTCAAATTAGTCAACATTAAGATTCTTTAACCAATAAATGAACAAACTGATGCCAATATATGAGTTAAAGTATTTGTCATGCCACGTGTCAGGTTCCAGTCCAAGCTGAGGACCGAGGGGAGTAGGTGGACCAGTGGTGGGCAGCTGAAATAACACTCAATGATCATAGACAATTTCGACATGGCTTTTACTCTCTCTGGGCATAAGCAAGACTGGGCGCAAGCCATGAGTGCAAGCCGACCTGGGTGAAGGCCGTATGTACAGCGTTAGCAGGCAATTATACCTTTTACAGACAACAATGGCTCCAAGCCAAGCACGAGCGCATGTGGGTGATCACCTAATGAGCCTCACATGGCATGGTTACATAACGTGTGGAGTTGTACAACTGCGCTCCAAACCTGCTAAGTCACGCTGTGCGGGAAAGCCACCTCAGCCTACTCCTGACTAAAGCGCAGCCATCTCTCTTACACTCCACCCCCTAGGCCAAGGGTGTCCTCTGGGTAGGGACACGTGCCCATAGAGTGGAGCCCTGAATTCATAACACACAATACCACAGAAAGCAACAGCTCCAGGTTATGGCAGGCAACCACCTCATGGTGACATCACCCCAATGTTGCTTTATACATTAAGCCATGTTTTTGTCCCTCTACCTTTAAAGGCATTGGGGCAGGCAACAACAGATTACCTTTTGTCCCCATACTTGGTCAGAGGAGGTCATCCTTCCTCCTATAGGGTCTTGCCACATGGCCTGGCCCCACAGGGGCTGGTGACCAACTAGTCACCTTTGTAACTTCTAGGTAGTTAACCACAAGGTTAACCCTTGATAGACCACCCAGGTATCAGTACAGACTACCATAGGTGTCACCTCCTTGGTGATCACCATCCACAGTGCTCTAAGTTCAGCCCATTGGCTACTTTGCCCATGCCCGGTTGCAAACCATATAGTATCAGTACTAGGTTGGACTGCAACAGCAGTCTAGGCAGCAGTAGCACCTTGGCTAGACCCATCTGTGTATCATGCCCCCCCATCAGGAATGGGGGGATGCCCTTCCTTAAACAGCAATGGCTCAAGGTGTAGGGTTGCATAAGGCTATGCCTTAGGCCCCATGGCCTTATCTTGCATTAGGACTACAGGTCCCCAGACATCTTGCAACTCAGATGCTAAGGGACTTGTACTCAGCATACTCTGCTTCTCCAAGTAGGTGCCCCACTTTGCCAAAGTGGATGTCTGTGCTGTCTCAGTTTGGGAGGTTATTATCCATGAACACACCCATCACACTATCAGGCAAGTCATACGCACAATGTCTGTAGCCTGTCCTGCCACGCTCTCATGAATCTGAAGGGCAGCATATGAGTTATGAACTGCTTCTTTATCAATCAACAACAGGGCTCAGCTCCCTTCCACAGCTGGGACCAAAAGCCCACCGGTGTTCTCAAGTGCTCCATGCACTGATATTGGCCCCAGCCAAAACTATCTGTGGTCACATGTACATCCAGCTCAAATGGGTGCCCCTGTCAACTACCCATAGGGCTTATGCCTGCTAAATGGCCCACTTGGCTGCCAGGAAGGCGGTCTCAGCTGCACCATCTTAATTCTAGGCAAGGGGAGTGTTGCTGCTTCTAAATCTGCAAGAGAATCAGAGGTGGGCATAATATCATTAACAAAACCATGGCTAATGGCGGGGCTATGCAAAAAGCCCTGCGGCAACCTGTGAAAGTCCAATGTCATCCTCCCGTGAAGGCAAACTGTTCCTGGCTCTCTGGAAAACAATGCATTAGCCAACTCCACTACATAGTGATACTATCCCAGTTCCATCAAGTGGTCCATCAAGTCCGTGATAGACGGTGCAGCTGCCAAGTCGTGTAAAATATCCAACTCCAGAATGTATCTGCACTGGTGTCTACCAGCACCAGCACTTGCTGTACATTGGTGGGAGACCAGTGGATTACTAATTTCACATGTGGCCTCCTCGGGAGGGGCACCTCGGCCAGTTCCCTCATCAAACAGAAGACTTTACACCCCCACCTGGCTGCAGCACATAGTCTTTGGGCTGGAGTGCCAGGGTGGCACCAGGTCACGCAGAAACGTTCTTCTCCTGCTTGGGTATTTTCTAGAATTGTTGCTCTGGAAACAGCTGCCTCCACAAAGTTCACTGGGCTGCTTATCAACTTTCTCTTGCTCCACCCTGGCCAAAATCAAATCTATCCACACCTGTGAGCATGTCACTCACTGGGACCCCCTTTTCTCCCATTGGGGGCATCCCTGCAGGTGGGGCACCTTTCCCTTCTTTATGGCACGGAACCCTCGATCCCACCAACAGCCTCCTTGGTATCAGACCAGGTGGGGGTCTCTGGCCAAGACAACAGACCCAGGCCTGCATCCAGAGCAGGCCCTAATTCCTTTTCCAAGCTCTGTAGCCAGGCCTCCAGGCGCCCTGCGTGTGCCTGGAGGTCCCCATTCATGGCAGCTTCTAACTCTTTTTCTGAGTTGTGTAGCCAGGCCTCCAGATGCCCCATCTGTACCTGGAGGGCCCTTACCTCTACTGCATCCCTCAGGGACTGGGTGTGTACTTCTCGTAGCACAGTCAAAAATGCCCATCCAACTCTGCTGGCAAAAGCTCATTCCTCCTCAGTGCTCTGCATTTCTAGCTGCTTCAGTGCCTTCTCCATGCTCGCAGGGGACCCATCTACCGCTGCCCAGGTTTCCACTGGAGCCCATTTAAGCAGTACAGCTGACACCGGGCACCACAACCCATGTTGTGGCCACATGGCTGACCCAGAATCACCAGGGAATGAAGGCTCACTCTCCCCAGTATCCTGTTCGTAATGTCAATTGTCACGCCAAGTGTCAGGTCTCAGCCCAAGCTGAGGACCAAGGGGAGTAGGTAGACCAGTGGCAGGTAACTGGAAAAACACTCGAATTGTAGACAGTTTCAACATGGCTTTACTCTCTCTCTGGGTGCAAGTGAGCCCAGGCATGAGCCAACCCAGGCACAGGCCATATGTACAGCGTTAGCAGGTTAATTATACCTTTTACAGACAATAGTGGCTCCAGGCCAAGCACGAGCTCACATGAGTGATCACCTAATACACCTGCAGTGTGGTTACATAACGTGCAGAGTTGTGCACCTGCGCTCCAAACCCGCTGAGTCATGCTGCACTGGAAAGCTGCCTTGGTCTACCCCTGACTAAAGCACAACCATCTCCCTTATAGTATTTAACAAGAAATTCTTAAGAGCAAGAGTTTACTTACAAACCAACAGCTTCTGTAGCAGTAAAATTTCATTATTAAAATGATCTGTTATGACAAATTTACATTGTCTAGTATTAAAGGAATAACTCTAAGCTTTTATCTAATACAACAGACTTTATGAGAAAATCTATCATGTATTCAAGAACTTAGCTTTTGGCATTAAAAAATTCAGCCTTTGAAAATGTGTGCTCATTTGGTCAGGGCTTCCCATTTTGTGTGTGAAATTTGCTCTGTGTCATCTTACGTAAGAAGAGGGTACCGGTACTTAAAGTTGCTGTGAAGGTTAAATGAGATAATGTTTGTAAAACACTTGTTCGAGGCCTGGCATAAGGCAGAAAAATGGAGATGAAGACACAGGCTCACAATTATAGTTGTTCTCCCCACAGTGACTATTTCAAATATGTACCTCTCTCCTCAAGGTCCCTAACTCAACTTTTAGTTTCAGCAGATTATCTTGAAAGCAAATCGAAGTGAATAAGCATGACTTCTATTAGCCTCTTGCTTCAGTCTCCTCCTGCAACCTATTATCCACAAGCATTCTCAATTTGGTTTTAAGACTGCTATGAATCCACCTGGTCATTAAATCCATCTTTCTTTACATCAGTAGCTCTCAAAGTGTGGTGTCTGGATCAGCAATATCAGTGTCAGCTGGGATCTCATTAGGAATGCAAATTCTCACCTTACCTAGGGCCTAATAAATCAGAAACTCTGGGAGTAGGGCCTGGCAATCTGTGTTTTATCAAGTCCTCCTGGCACACTAAAGTTTAAGAACCACTGCTTTAGATTATCCACGAGAAAACCATGAGGTTTTTTTATGAAGTCAGTACAGGTAAGCCTGACATTCAAATAAGTTATGTACTGAATTGTTTCTATTATAAACAAGAACACAAAAGAACTTACAACAAAACTGGCTTGTAAGCTAGCTATTTAATAAGTGAATTACAAAAATGTAAGAAATTGAGGGCAAGGGAAAGAGAGGCCTTTAAGGGGAGATTCCTAGGCTTGTTCTCCAGTCCTGTCTAGTTTAAGGCTAAGCTTCAGCAGTGGGAAAAACTAAGTACACTGTAGCACAGGATGAGGAGACCCAAGGGACAGTGTGGAAAAGCCCTTAAGGGTTTCTGGCTGTCTATGGTGAGTCTGCAGTCCAGCATAAACTGTAAAAGCTGGCACGGACTCACAGTTGGCCAATTTGGAAGTACAGTACCACAACAAGGAAACTTTCAGGTCAGATCACATTTGAAGCCCCGCGTTCAGTCACTACATTTCAAGAGAGATGTTGATAAAACTAGTTCATTTCTTTGAAAAATAATGGGAATGAACAGAATTTATAGCTTAACAAATTGGGGATGTGTATCCAGAAAAGAGATGACTGGGAGGATCTGATAGCTATTCTATAACTGAAGGGGTGTCATATGGAATAGAAATTGGACTTATCCTTTATTGCTTCAGAGAATAGAACTAGGACCAATGGTTGGAAGTTAATGGGGAGCATATTTTATCTTCATATGAGAAAATTTTCTAACGATTAAAGCTATTAAATAAATTGCATTGCCTTCTAAGGCTGTAGGCCTCTGCTCACTGGAAGCATTCAAGTGAAGCTGGATGACGGCTGGTCATGAATTTAGTGGAGAGGATTATTACGTTGGGAAGTCAGCCTAGGTTACCTCTGTTTCTTTCCAACTTTGAAAATTCTATGAATATATGTTATCTA